GAGTTTGACGCGTGGCTGGTCGACCTCCGCCGCCATCTCACTGGTCAGCGGCAGGATGGCCACTCGCTGTCTGTCCACCTTGACGGTACGCTCCCCTGCCCTGACCCCCCTGCTGCGCTGCCCACTGAGCCCTCGTCTGCTGAGCGTGAGTCCGCTGCAGCTGCTGCCCTTGCTCACTCTGTCTGGCTGTCGCGTGACGCTGTTGCACAGCTTGCTATCAGCCATGCCCTCCCACTATATGAGCGCCCTTGCTTTAAGTCTGTCAAGACTGCGCAGGAGTTCCTAGATGCTATTGTCCAGCACTATTCCACCCCGCCTGCTGCCTCTGTAGGTCGCCTGATCCTGCCGATGCTTTTCCCTGACCTTGCGTCTTTCCCCACTGTCGCTGACCTTGCCGCCCACCTGCGCACGATAGACGCCACCTGGCGCGCTGCTTGCACTGACACACAGCTTCGCGCTCACCAGCCGCCCCTCTGTTCTGCTCTCAACCTGCTAGCCACCCGCCTCCCTGACCATCTTGCCACTTCCCGCGACCGCTTCCTTAGCGTCCACCCTGGTGACCTCACCCTCACCAACTTTGTTGACACCCTATCTGTCATAGAGGCCCGCCACCGCTCTATCGCCCAGACTAGCGGTACTGTGCCGGTCCCTATCTTTCAGGGTTGTGCCCCTGCCCAGCGCACCTTCTTCGACGGTTCTGCTGCTGTGGCTGAGACTGCCGCTGCAGCGCAGTTTCGCCCGGGGAAGGGTCGCCACCCCAAGGCTGGGCGCGGCGGAGGGGGTGGGGGTGCAGGTGGAGGTGGGAGTGGATTTGGGGCGCCTGGTAGTGGCGCAGACGAGGGGACTGTCCCTGGTGCAGCCGAGCAGCCGTCCCAGCAGTCGCAGCCGTCGCAGCCGAACCAGCACCACCCGCCGCCGCAGCCCCAGCTCCAGCCGCAGCAGTCGCAGCAGCCGCAGCAGCAGAGGCGGGCGAGTGGTCTCCCGCCCGGGTGGCCTCGCGCTGGTGGCGGCGGTGGACGTGGTGGTGGACGTGCGTGTGGTGTGCCCCCGGGTGGCATTTCGGGTGACGGGCGCTGCCAGTACCAGCTCCTGACCGGTCCTCGCCGCGGCTCCATTTACCGTAAGACCGGTCACTCCCCTGTTCGCTGCTTCCGTTGCCTTGACGACCTGTTTCGTCTTCACTTCGGCCCGTCGCCCGACCTCCCCGACTGGTACAGCTTGCTTCGCCGTAGTATTCCGATCTTTGATATGGACATGGATGAACTTACCTCTGCTCTGTATGTGCTGTATGCTGATGACTCTAGTGTGACTAGTTCTTACTACCACGTGTTGCCTAGTGTAGGTGTGCCTAGTCTTGCCCCCCCTCGTGCGTCAGGCGTCGGATCTCCTGCCATGTTTAGTCTAGGTTCCTCTACCGCTTCTTCAACCCCGGCCGCCACTGCTGCGCTCACCTTCACCCTGGACTCTGGCGCTTCCCGGTGTTTCTTCCGCAATTCCACTACTTTGTCCTAGCTTGCTGCTCCTGCTGCGGTTTCCCTTGCTGACCCCTCCTCTAGTCCGGTAGTCGCCCGTAACTCTACCACCCTTCCCTGCCCGGCGGCTCCTTCGGGCTCGCTTACAGGCTTGCACGTCCCCTCGTTTTCTAGGAACCTAGTTGGTTTTGGCTGCTTCCAGGACCTTGGCATCACCACTATGTTCCCTGGTCACGAGCGGTTTGTTGTCTGTACTGAGGCCGCCACTGGTGCTCACCTCGCTGCGTTCCCCCGGGACCCGGTGTCAGGCCTGTTCACACTGGACACCGTGCCCCCCCCGGTTCAGACACCTCCCCAGGTAGCTGTGTCGTCTAAGGTTGCAGCGGCCTGCTCGTGTCGGTCGCTTACTCACCCGACTCTCCTGTCGCACCACCGTCTAGGTCACCTTGCGCTCCCGCATCTGCGTCACATGTCACAACACGGTCTTGTCCTCGGTCTCCCAGGGTCGTTCCCCGAGCTCCCCCCTCCACAACACCACCATGCACGCCCTGCGTCGAGGGTCGGCTCCTCTGTGCCCCTCACTCCTTCTCGTTCCCCCCCACCACCGCACCGCTACAGACCTTGCACATGGACGTCTGGGGCCCCGCCCCCGTCCATGGACCGCATCGCGAGCGCTACTTCCCCGTGCTTGTCGACGACTACACGCGCTACACCACGGTTTTTCCCTTGGAGCGGAAGGCTGACGTGCCTGGCGTTCTTATCCCCTGGCTAGTCTCTGCGCGTGTCCATCGTGGTCTCCCTATCTTTCGTCTCCACTCCGACCGTGGTGACGAGTTTGCCTCTGGTGTCCTTGGTCGTTTCTGTTGTGCGGAGGGCATCACCCAGACGTTCACCTTGCCGGACTCCCCGCAGCAGAATGGGGTCGCTGAGCGACGCATCGGTTTGGTCATGGAGGTGGCTCGTACCTCCATGATCCACGCTGGTGCACCCCATTTTCTGTGGCCGTTCGTGATTCACTGCACTGCTCACCAGCTTAAGTTGTGGCCGCACCGTCAGCGGCCGCAGGTTTTGCCGACCCTTCTTTGGACCGGGTCTCCTGGTGAAGCGTCTGCGTTCCATGTCTGGGGCTGCCTTGCTCACGTTTGTGCCACTGGCACGGACAAGCTTACTGCCCGCACCGTCCCCTGTGTCTTCCTTGGTTTCCCCCTTGACTCGTCCGACTGGCACTTCTACCACCCGCCGTCCCACCGTTTCTTTCACTCCCGCTACGTCACCTTTGACGAGTCCATCTCCTTCTACCACCGCTTTCCCCTTCGTGGTCCCCCCGTCAACCCCCCCCTGTTCCTGGTTCCCCCGTCCCTGGTAGCACCAGCCCCGCCCCCCCCCCGCGTCCTGCCCCGTCCGGTGTGTCTCACGTCACTCCCCTCCGTCGGTTGTCCCGGTTGAGGAGTCTGCTAACTCTAGTGGTCCTGCGGCCCACTCCTTGCCGCTTGCCCCCCCCCGGTGTCTCCTCCTCCGCTGCCTCCGCAACCGTTGTCGCCGCCGCAGCCGCAGTCGTCGCCGCTGCCGCAACAGTCGTCGCCGCCGCAGCCGCCGTCGCCGTTCGTCGCCTCTGATGGTGCTGGAGTTGGGAGTGGTACTGGTGCTGGAGGGGTTTCTGGCCCTGGGGGTGTTCCTTCTGGGGGTGCAAGAGTGGAGTGTTCCGGCGATAGCCGTTGAGCCGCTTTCGGCCCTGGAGTTGGTGTTGTGCTGCAGCAGCCGCAGTCCCCGCCGGTGTCAGCCCTTCGCCTGCTTGGCCTTCCATCCCCTGACCCTGCGTCTGTTCCTCTTTTGCCGTCCCCTCCTCATCTGGTCTACGGCCCTGTGTTCCCTCCCCCGGACTCGTCCCCGGCTCGTCTCCCCCCTCGTTCCCCTCTTGTGTCTCCACCTCTGTCTCCTGACCCGACGCCTCCGTCGCATGTCTGGTCTCGCCGTCCCTCCCGTGCTCGCCATGTCTCCCCTGTCTCGCGCTCCCACCCTATGTTGCTTCGTTCCCACTTGTCGCGTCCTCCCCTCCTGCCGTCGCCTCCTCCGTCCTCCCTTGTCGTTGCGCCTCCCCCTGTGTCTGACTACCTTCGTGCCGCTCGTCTTCTTGTTCCTCGGGTCCTTGCCTCTCTCGTTACCGACCCGTCTGTTCCTGTTTCGCGTCTTGACGCTCTTGTCACTGCGGTCGCTGACTTCGCCTCTACCCGCCGCCTTGACTACGCCACCGCTCTGGTCTCTGACCCTGCCTGTCCTCCGTTTGTCGGGGATGCTCCTGCCCTCGGCAGTGACGTCCTGGAGGACCGCCAGTACGAGCTTGCTTTCCTGTCTGAGGCTGCTCCCCATCTCTGTTCCATGCTGCTAGTCCCTGAGGGTGACCCAGACGCTTTGGACATCCCGACCCCTCGCATTTACGCTGAGGCGGTTTCGGGACCTTGGGCCTCTCAGTGGATAGCTGCCATGGAGCAGGAGATGGCATCTTGGAGATCCACCGGCACCTACATCGATGCCGTTCCCCCACCTAGGGTGAACGTAGTCGATGGCCGCTGGCTCTTCAAGGTGAAGCGCCCTCCTGGAGAGCCGCCTGTGTTCAAGGCACGCTACGTGGCTAGAGGTTTCAGTTAGCGTGAGGGGGTGGACTTCTTTCAGACCTTCGCTCCGACCCCGAAGATGACTACTCTTCGGGTGCTGCTACACGTAGCAGCTCAGCGTGACTACGAGCTTCACTACGTCGACTTCTCCACTGCGTTTCTTCAGGGCAATCTACACGAGCATGTCTACCTGCGCCGCCCTCAGGGGTTCACTGGTACCTTCCCTCCTGGGACCCAGTGGCTTCTGCGGCGCCCCGTCTACGGCCTGCGGCAGGCTCCGCGTGAGTGGCACGACACGCTGCGTGCTACCCTTGTTGACCTGCAGTTCTTTTCGTCCTCTGCAGACCCATCGCTGTGAGGCCGAGATCTACGCCGGTGCCATGGAGGCACAGGAGCTCCTCTGGCTGACCTTCTTGCTCACTGACTTAGGTGAGCAGCTTAGCTCTGCCCCGGTCCTGTACGCTGACAACAGGGCCATGATCCTCCTGTGTCAGGAGCCTCGACTCGAGGGCAGAGCAAAGCACATCCAGTTGCGGTACTTACTCCTGCGTGAGCTCCAACAGCGCCGGCAGGCTTGCGCAGTACACTTGTCCTCCGGTGCCAACATAGCTGATATCTTTACGAAGGCGCTTGCGCCTAAAGATCATCGGCGGCACTGTGTACAGCTAGGTCTCGTTCCTGTAGCCTCTCACTTGCTAGGGCCTTGACTTAGTACTGTCCTTCATATATATTTTACCCTGACTGGCCTTCTGGCCTCTCACAATGGCTGGACTAGTAGTGCCGCCCTGGTCTTGTTCTTGCCTTGTCTGTACTCCTTTAGACTGGTCTTTAGACGCTTGTCTGAGAGGCTGGACTAGTAGTGCCGCCCTGAGCTGCTTCCCTGGTTAGGCACTGCCCCTATCTAGTCTAGGGGGTGTGTCAAACAGAACTTATATTGTTACTGTAGACTATACAGGTTTGTGCCTAAGAGGGTACAGCACACTAGTCTATATTGCCCTGTATCTTCTTATTCTAGTCATTCTCTCTTTCTGATAGAACCTTCCCTCTGCCTCACCACGATTGGTCACTTGAGCACTTTCGATGTGGTACATTCCAATCCAAGGGCCCAGATGGGGAAGATGGAGGGAAGGGGAGAGCCACACTCTCCGCACACTGCTATCTTCAACCCGCAATCGGGCCATGATTGGGTGCTTCAGAAATCAGCTGTGGTACTGTACACTCCAACGGCCCAGATGGGGAAGATGCTGTTAAGGGGGAAGCCAAGCCAAGCCACATACCCTCACCCCACTATCAGGCCCTAAGTGTTTGCTTGAGCACTATGCGTCGGTACACTATGGGGAACACGATGGGGCACTGTTAGATGGTTGGAAGCCAACCCTTCCCACACAATTAGGCCATGAGTGCTTGCTTGAGCACTTTGCTGCGGTACACTCCAAGCGCCCATATGGGGAAGATGTTGCGATAAGCAGAGTAGCTTATCATGCAGTTGCCATTGAACACTCCAATGATCTCCTGCACAGAAGAAATGCAGACCACACATCAGGCGTAAAGTGCACGAGAGTAAAGAGGGGTAATGGGTACGCAGAGTAGCTTATCATGCCATTGAATACTCCGATGATCTCCTGCAGAGATCCACACACACACACCACACCAGGTGTTAAGTGCACGAGGGTAAAGAGGGGTCACGAGTGAGCAGAGTAGATTATTATGCAGTTGCCGTTGAGCATCCAATGATCTTCTGCAGAGAAGAGATGCACAAACCAGGCATTAAGTGCATGCACGAGCAGTAAAATACTGAATAAGCAGAACAGCTTGTCAAGCAATTGCCGTTGAACACTTCGACAATGTTTGTGGATTTCCCCTACCCGTCCCCTTCCCTCTCACCTCCTGTGGGAAGTGCCCATTCTCCATCTGCGCGTTCACCACACCTTTACCCATGACCTTATGCCATATCCCCCCCCTCTCTCACCTCCTATAGGAAGTCCCTAAACCCTAAACCCGAAACCTATAGGAAGTCCCCATGCTCCATCTGCACGTTCACCAGCACCCATGCTATCACCCTTCGCTTCCCTGCCCCTCACCCCAAGCCCTGCACCATGAACCCCAAGCCCCAAGCCCCAAGCTGTTTTTGAGGCGCCTCAAAAAAACTATTTTTTAGGCACCATGAACCCCAAGCTCCAAACCCTAGGCCCCCCACTCACCTCCCGTGGGAAGTCCCATGCTGCATCTGCCCCTTCACCAGCCCCCGTGCTCCCATCCCTCCTCTCAGCCCCGAGCCCCAGAGCCCTGGTGGCCCCATGACCTTACACCAGAACCCCCCCCCTCTCACCTCCTGTGGGAAGTCTCCATTCTCCATCTGCCCATTGATCAAAACTCGTGCCGCCGCGTGCAGAGGGGCGGGGTCTCGGAGGTGCTGAAGTGGGGGGAAGGCAACAGTGGTGGGAGGAGGGGAGAATGACAGAAGCCTTCCAGCACTCGAGCTGCTGCATGCAGAGGGGCGGGGACTTGTAGGTGCTGTAAGTGGGGGGGATAGGGGGGCTTGAGGCACCTCATAGATCGTGCTATTGTGCAGAGGGGTGGGGTCTCGAAGGTGCTGCAGCGGGAGGAAGGGGGTGGGGACGCGGGTGGGAATAGGGGCTTTGAGGTGACTTTTGAGTCGACTATGTAACGAGGTGAATTTTGAGTCGAGTCAAAAGTCACCTTTTGAGTCGACTCAGAAGGGGGTGGGGATGCGGGTGGGAATAGGGGCTTTGAATCACCTCGTAACTCGTGCTGCTGGATGTGGAGGGATGGGGTCTCGAAGGTGCTGCCACGGGGGGGGAACAGTAGCGGGAGGAGGGGGTCAAGGTGGTCACTTATGGGCTTAGAAGCACCTCAAAAGGGGTGCTGCTGTACGCGGAGGGGCCGGAGGCCGAGAAGAAACTCCATAGTGTGCCATCCTTGACACGTCTCGAACGCCTTGAGAAGTCTCAAAATATTGTTGTGAGACGTCTATTTTTGAGGTGCGTAAAAAAAAGACGCCTTGAGACGTCTCAAAATATTGTTGTGAGACGAAGCACGTAAGTGAGATCCCACGGATCGTCACGCATGGAGAAGAGTTTTGAGGCGCCTCAAAACGGATCGTCACGCATGGAGAAGAAACGCCGCAGTGTGTCAGCCTTGACGCGTCTTGGACGTCTTGAGACGTCTCAAGATACTGTTGTGGGAGGGAGGCCTCAAAGTTTTTGTTTCGAAGCGACTCAATATGCGCTTAGATCTCACGTCTCGATCCGCATGCAGAAACCGGAGGATGAGAATAGATTCTGTAACTGTGTGTCAGCCTATGAGGTACTGCCTGCCTCTCCACATATCAGGTACCACCTCCCGCTGGAAATCCCTACCTGCATACCACCTTCCCTGCATACCCCCTAACTACCTGCTCTGCTCCCATCAACACCAGCATGCCGTATGCTAGTGTTCCCTTACGAGTCAGATATGACCTCCCCTACATGTACACAAACCACCTCCCCCACATGCTGCCTACTACGCTTCCATCAGAGCCAGCATGGCCCATGCTGTGTTCACCAGGCGAGGGCGATGGCTTCACATGCAACCTCCCCTTCAAAAGAGATAACACCTCCCCTACGAAAGAGATAACACCTCCCCTACGAAAGAGATAACACCTCCCATACAAAAGAGAACAACTCTCTTCCAAAAGAGATAACACCTCCCCCAGGCATCACCCACCTGCTCTGCTTCCATCAGTGCCAGCATGGCCCAGGCTGTGTTCACCAGGTGAGGGCGGTCGCCTGGGAGGTTGACGTATTTCTGAGCGGGAAGGGGAACAAAAAGCGCACAGGAGGGAGGAAAAGGGAAGGGGAAGGGGAGAGGTGGGGTGGGGAGGGGAAGGGTGAGTGCCAGTATCCCCCATGCTGTGTTCAAAAGGCGGGGGCGATCTCCTGACAGGTTGATGTATTTCTGTGATTGTGGTGACGGACCGTGGGATAAGGTCAGAGAGGAGAGAGGAAAGGGGAATGGGATTGAGGTTGGGAGGCGAGGAGCGACCTCCTGGTAGGTTAGTGGATTCCAGTAGGGGTGTTTTGAGTCGGTTCCAGTCACACCTGCTATCCGCTGCTACGTGCCCTGAGGCGCCTATCCTCACCTTGTCCTGGCTCGACAGGTACCTCTCCCCCCCCCACCCCCCTTCCGGCAGCTGTTTCTCCAGCAGAAACCGAACGGCCTTCCGCACGGCATTCGGCAGCTTGTGACTGATAGCGCCCCTGCTGCTACCAGCCCTGAGATGCATTCAACCATGTGTGAAAGATCAAGATCAATCCTCACCTTGTCTTGGCTCGACAGATAGCTTTCTCCCCACCCTCCTTCAGGAAGCTGCTTCTCCAGCAGAAACCGAACCGCCTTCCTCACGGCATTGGACGACTCGTAGTGTGCCCCTGCTGCTATCAGCCCTGAGATGCCGAACCATGTGCCGTACGTGAAGCACACGCCCCAGCTGCCGTACCTGTTGATGGGGGTGGGGGGGGGGGGGTACAGGGTTTTAAGGTCGAGGTTTAAGGTCAAGGTTCAGGTGTGAGTGTTGCCATCAGCCCCTGCTGCTAGCAACCCCGAGACGCCGAACCATGTGCCGTGCGTGAAGCACATGCCCCAACTGCCGGGGGTTGTACAGGGTTTTAAGGTCGAGGTTTCGGGTCAAGGAACCAGTATTGCCATCAGCCCCTGCTGCTACCAGCCCTGAGATGCCGAACCATATGCCGCACGTGAAGCACACGCCCCAGCTGCCGTACCTGTTGATGGGGGGTACAGGGATTAAGGTCATGGTTTAAGGTCAAGGTTTAAGTTCAAGGTTTAAGGTCAAGGTTTAAGGTCAAGGTTCAGGTGCGAGTGTTGCCATCAGCCCCTGCTGCTACCAGCCCTGAGATGCCGAACCACGTACCGCACGTGAAGCACGCACCCCAGCTGCCATACCTGATTTTGGGTATGGGTCGAAGGTGGGGCGGTTGGGTGTAGGTTTAGAGTTTGTGGCTTAAGAGCGAGGGTCACTCGAGTGAACGCTGTGAGTGAGTGAGTGAGTGAGTGAGTGAGTGCTGCTTTCAACAACGTGCACCCTAAAACTCTGACGGGCTTCGCGCGTAATAAGTCGATTTTTTAGTCGACTAAAAAAACGACTTACTACACACAGAACGAGGTGCTATCAAGTGAACGCCGTGAGGGAGTGAGTGCTGCTTGCAACAACGTGCACCCTAACACTCCGATGGGCTTCCCGCATAGCACCGACCGAGCAACTCACCACGACCCGTTGTCCCTCTGAACGTCCACCAGGAAGCCCCTGGCCTTCCTTCCAGATGGCCTGCTCTATGTCATCCGCCCAGTACTCCCAGTCCAGTGGGCGCACAGAGCATCACTGTGCCTGAAATCCAACCTCCACTCACCACGACCCCTCGTCCCTCTGAACGTCCACCAGGAACCCCCTGGCCTTCCAGATGGCCTGCTCTATCTCATCCGCCCGGTACTCTGGGTACACTCGAGGGAACGCTTTGAGTGAGAGCTTCTTGCAACATGCGCATGCTCGCAATGCACTCTCACACCCACCAGAAGAACGCCACTTCCCACTCACCACGACCCGTCGTCCCTCTGAATGTCCACCAGAAACCCCCTCGCCTTCCAGATGGCCTGCTCTATGTCATCCGCCCGGTACTCTGGGTGCACTCTCGTGAACGCTGTGAGAGCCTGGATGGAGGCGGATGTGCACTCCACGTAGCTGGGAGAGTGGTGGGTGGAGGGGGGAAGAAAGCAAGGGAGAGTGGCAGATTGTGAGGTGCCCTCACAGCACTTGCGTGAACGCTGTGAGCACCTGGATGGCGGCAGTGATGCGCACTTTCCACGTACCTGGGAAGAAGTGGAGATGAGAGGGGGGGGGGGGGGGGGAAGAAACAGAGGACGGGGAGGTTTGAGGTGCCCTCGCAGCACTACCATGACGCTGTGAGCGGCTAGATGGATGCTGGATGGACGCTGGATGGACGCTGCGAGCAGCTGGGAGAGTGTTGGTGGTGGGGAGAAGGGGGAATGAAGGTTGACATGACAGCAGGAGGGGAGGAGTGGGTGTGACGGTTGTCTGTCTGATCAGCAGCTGGGTACTCTGGGTGCACTCGTGTGAATGCAGTGAGCGCTTGGATGGATGTGGACGTGCAAAATGACTTTGCAGGGTGTTTTTGAGAATTCTAAAAAACTCTCTGCAAAATGACTTTTGAGTTGACTGGAAAGTCAGGGCTGGGATGGATGTGGACGTGCAATCCACACAACTAGGAGCGGACGGGACAGGGCGGGATGAGGAGGAGGGGCAGACTCTGCCCTTAGCCTCGTTGCTCATCTGCCCGGCAGAGGGAGTCATGCGCCGACTGAAGAGAAACTGAACGTGAGGAGTCTATTGTTGAGGCGCCTCAAAAGGAGTCCATTTTTGAGGCGCCTCAAGAGGAGTCTATTTTTGAGGCGCCTCAAGAGGGGTCTATTTTTGAGGCGCCTCAAGAGGAGTCTATTTTTTAGGCGCCTCAAAAGGAGTCTATTTTTGAGGCGCCAGTCTATTTTTGAGGAGCCTCAAAAGGAGTCTATTTTTGAGGCGCCAGTCTATTTTTGAGGCGCCTCAAAAGGAGCCTGTTTTTGAGCCGCCTCAAAAGGAGTCTATTTTTGAGGCGCCTCAAGAGGAGTCTATTTTTGAGGCGCCTCAAGAGGAGTCTATTTTTTAGGCGCCTCAAAAGGAGTCTATTTTTGAGGCGCCAGTCTATTTTTGAGGCGCCTCAAAAGGAGTCTATTTTTGAGGCGCCAGTCTATTTTTGAGGTGCCTCAACAGGAGTCTCTTTTTGAGGCGCCTCAAAAGGAGTCCATTTTTGAGGCGCCTCAAAAGGAGTCTATTTTTGAGGCGCCAGTCTATTTTTGAGGCGCCTCAAAAGGAGCCTCTTTTTGAGCCGCCTCAAAAGGAGTCTATTTTTGAGGCGCCTCAAAAGTCATCTGCCCGGCAGAGGGAGTCATGCGCCGACTGAAGAAAAACTGAAGAGATAGAGGAGATAGAGGAGAAGAGATCGAATCATCGGATCGGAGGCTGGCCGCTCATACCATCGAATCTCCGAGCAATTGCTTTTGAGGTGCCTCAAAAGCAGTCTCAGTTCACGCGGATTGTATATGGGGAATATATAGCAATTGCTTTTGAGGCGCCTCAAAAGAAGTCATGCGCAGAGAGATAGAGGAGAATTGATCGAATTATCGGAGGCTGGTCATCGAATCTCCAAGCAATTCCGGTATTGCTATTTGGCAAAAAGGGGAAAAAGAACTTATTGCATGCGTGTTTGCTGGAAATCTGCTAGGTCCGCTTATAAAAGCCATGGAACAGGATGACCAGCAGAATAGGGGTGGAGGAAAAGCTTTGTGGGGAAGAAGAGGGATGATGGAAAATTTGGAAAATAGCCATAAATATTATACTGCAATACTACTCACGAGTAGTCGATAATGATGTTTCCAAAAGTCTCAGATGGATTAAGGATCTGAGTACGGCAACGAGGGAGAAAAAGGGGAGGGATATGGGAGGGATGTGGGAGGGATATGGGAGTGCAAGGGGGGTTGAGAGGGGAAAGGAAGGGGGGAGGAAGGAATAAGGGAAGAAACTTATCTCTGTTGTCAACATCGTTGGACAATTCCCTCAGGTCAGTCAACACAGGCAGAAGCTTGTAGCATCTAATGTTGCCGTCAATGCTTGAAATTCACCTCAAGCAATGAGCTTACCTCAAGCCATGGGTACGAGCGGGTGTTCTCATATGTGGCCATGCCGCCATCCTTGTTCTGCCAGAGGGGGAACGGGGGGAGGGAGAGTGGGGGGGGTTGTAGGTGGGGTTTGAAAATGGTGAGTGACAATTGGGAATCAATGGCAAGTGGGGTAGGGGCGGGCGGGTGTTCTCATATGTGGCCATGCCCCCATCCTTGTTCTGCCAGGGACGGGGGGGCAGATGGAAGTGAGATTGAATGCGGTCACAGAGAGGGGCTGACAGGGGGAATGGTGGCACGAGGGGTAGGAGTGTGGGTTCCCATATGTGGCCATGTGGCCATGTGGCCATGCCCCCATGCCCCCATCCCTGTTCTGCAAGAGATTGGCAGGAGAAAATGGGGAGGAGGGAGAAAATGGGGAGAAGGGAGCAGAGAAGATGGGGAGGAGGGAGCAAGTGAGGGGGAGGAGGGAGCATGTGAGGGGGACGAGGGAGCATGTGAGGGGGACGATGCTCACACGTGCACCTGGTAGGAGAGTATGGCATGCACACAATCGCACTGGCAGCGCTCAGCAAACGGCTTTGCCCACTAAGTGGGCATGGCATTGACTCAGTGCATCACAGTTACACCTGGCTGGCACACTGGCAGCAGCACGCATCCGGTACGAGAGAATGACGTCCACACAATCACATAGGCGGCGCTCAGAAATGGCCACGCCCACCAGGTGCGGAGGAAGGGCCTCCAGTACACTACTAGCGCGACACATTCTTACGCACACAGAGTGTTTTGCAGCGCCTTCACTCCAAGCTCACCTGGTACGACAGAATGACGTCCACACAATCACTTAGGCGGCGCTCGGAAATGGCCTCGCCCACCAGGTGGGGAGGGAGAGCTTCCAATATGAGAGATGCCTGGAGGTGGGCAAGGGAAGTGGAGGGGAGAGACTCAAGAGCGCATGGATGCGAATGGTGCAAGCTTCATGGGACCTCGCGGCCTCGCCCACTGGGTGGCGGGGCGGGGCTTCCAATATAAGAGATGCCTGGAGGACGGGGAAGGGAAGTGGGAGGGAGAGACTCAGGAGTGCATGGATCCACATGTGTTTTGAGTTGACTCAAAAGTCAAGACTCAAGAGCACATGGATCCAAATGTGTTTTGAGTCGACTCAAAAGTCAAGACTCAAGAGCGCATGGATCCAAATGTGTTTTGAGTCGACTCAAAAGTCAAGACTCAAGAGCGCATGGATCCAAATGTGTTTTGAGTCGACTCAAAAGTCAAGACTCAAGAGCGCATGGATCCAAATGTGTTTTGAGTCGACTCAAAAGTCAAGACTCGAGCGCATGGATCCAAATGTGTTTTGAGTCGACTCAAAAGTCAAGACTCAAGAGCGCATGGATCCAAATGTGTTTTGAGTCGACTCAAAAGTCAAGACTCGAGCGCATGGATCCAAATGTGTGTTGAGTCGACTCAAAAGTCAAGACTCGAGCGCATGGATCCAAATGTGTATTGAGTCGACTCAAAAGTCAAGACTCAAGAGCGCATGGATCCAAATGTGTTTTGAGTCGACTCAAAAGTCAAGACTCGAGCGCATGGATCCAAATGTGTTTTGAGTCGACTCAAAAGTCAAGACTCAAGAGCGCATGGATCCAAATGTGTTTTGAGTCGACTCAAAACACATCCAAATGGAGCAAGCTTGACAGGGCCATGGCCACCAGGTGGGGAGGGAGCGCCTCCAATATGCGAGATGCCTGGAAGGGGGGAAGGGAATTGGAGGGGAGAGACTCAAGAGCGCATGGATGCGAATGGTGCAAACTTGACAGCCTCCAGAATCAGTGATGCCTGGAGGACAGGGAGGGGAGGTGGAAGGGAGAAAATGGAGTTCACAGGTGCACGGGGGCAGATGGTGCAAGCTTGATGGGGCCTCGCCCAGCAGGTGGGGGGGAGGGCCTCCAAGATTAGAGATGCCTGAAGAATGGGGATGGGGGAGAGGATAGAAGGGAACCCGAAATCAGTTGTCATGGAAGAGTAGCTCTCTCCCCCATCCTCTCCCCCATCCCCATCAGCGGAAACATCGTACGGGGATGGGGGAGAGGATAGAAGGTAACCCGAAACCCTAATCTTATGCTTTCTCGTGGCAGTTCCTTGCTAGCAGCAGTGCCTTACATTCCTACATCAGCAGCTCAAGTTAGCACCCTACTTTCCTACACCGCACCCTCACTTTTAGGCCCTCAGACGAGCAAGCACCGATGGAGAAGAGAAGCCATGGCCGCGTGTGAAGAAGCTTTTGTGTCGACTCAAGATCAGCAGCCCACGTTACTACCACGCTTTCCTGCACTACCCTCTCACTTTTAGGCCCTCCGACGAGCAATCACTGATGGAAAAGCCATCATTGTGTGCGAAGAAGGGCCAAGCACCTCTGACAGGCAAGCCATGGTCGTCAGCATCAGCCTCGTGTACCCCTTATAAAGGCACCCACCTTGAGCCCCTCTGACGAGCGGTCGCTGATGCGCCAGCCGTGATCGCGCGTGGAGGAGGGCCAAGCGCCTGTAGATCCTGCATCACAGTCTCGCCTTGAGCACTATCCCTGCACGACCAGCTCATCTTAAGCCCCTCTGACGAGCAGTCACTAATAGGCCAGCCGTGGACTTCAGCATCAGCCTTGTATACCCTTTATAAAGGAACTCACCTTGAGTCCTTCTGACGAGCAGTCGCTGATGGGCCAGCCATAGTCTTCAGCATCAGCCTCGTATACCCTTAATTATGAAGGAACTCACCTTGAGGCTATTTTTGAGGCGCCTAAAAAATATACTACTCACCTTAAGCCCCTCTGACGAGCAGTCGCTGATGGGCCAGCCGTGGTCGCGAGTGGAGAAGGGCCAGGCGCCCCTGGAGATGTGGCGGTACCACGCTGCCAGCTTGCCGGGGCAGTCCTCTTGCACCTGGTGGAGGTGGTGGAGATGTGAATATGTCAGTGGGAATAAGCAGGGAACAGGTGTTTGGAGAAGGGCCACGCGTCCCTGGAGTGGAGATGTGGTGGTGCCACGCTGACAGCTTGCCGGGGCAGCCCTTTTGCACCTGATCAGCTGGTAGGGCAGAGGGCGAAAGGAAGGGTGGGTATGGATGCCCAAGACTGGGGTGGGTGCAGGAGAAAAGGGTAGCTTTCAGAACAATGCGAATACAGAGATTGCAACTCACCTGGCTCCTCTAAAGGTAGAGAGCGTGTAACTGCCCTCAAGGCGCCACCCATCGAAACAACTCACCTGGGAGCGCTCGAGGTACGAGTGTGCGAGCTTGAGCGCGCGGTGAGTCTCATCCATCATGCCAGCAGCATGCAGCGCCTGCACTGCAAAGGCCGTGTCCCACAGCTGGCTGCCGTTGTAGCCCTGCCCAGCGTTTCGGGTTTAGGCATGGGGAGAGATTACAAAGGAAGCTCATAGGGATTTAAGCATGCAACGCCTGCACTGCAAAGGCCGTGTCCCACAGCTGGCTGCCGTTGTAGCCGTGCTTGGGTTTAGGATTGGGGTTAAGGATTAAAGGTTAGAATATGAGGGTTCGAAGCACAAGGATTCAGCCACGTTTATTTAGTCGACTCAAAAATATATTCATTAGGATATCAGGTTCGCAGCACAAGGATTCAGCCACTCGTGGGAGGTGCCCCTTGAAGGCCTCGCACTCACTCTCCAGGGTTTGGGGTTTAAGGTTTACGGTAAGGGTAAAGGTTAACGGCCCACCAGAAAATCCATTCAGCATAACCTGCATCGTCATGCTATCCTCTGACACGCAGTGGTAGTCAGCAACCCCTGGAAGATGCTTCTTGAGACTAATACACCTCATACAGTCACACCTCATAACGAGCCGAATGACGCCACTCATGGAATGTGCTTCTTGAGGGTGTACGCCTCTCATCTGATGTAGTCACACTCTCCTGGAGTAACCACCTGATAAAGTGACCCCTTTTTTCTCACCTGCATCTTCATGCCGTCCTCCACCACTAACAGCCTCCACTAACAGCCTCCACTAACAGCCTCCACTTACAGTCACACCCCAACATAGTCACAGGCTCACCTGCATCTTCATGCCGTCCTCCACCACCCAGAGGTAATCCGCCACTCGTGGGAGGTGCTTCTTGAAGGCCTTGCCATTTGCGCTCCTACCCTACATGCCCACTACATTCCTAAAGTCACTCTCCCACTATGGTCACAGGCTCACCTGCATCTTCATGCCGTCCTCCGCCACCCAGAGGTAATCCGCCACTCGTGGCAGGTGCTTCTTGAAGGCCTCGCTGTTGGGTTCCTCCTCCACTTACAGCCTCCACTAATAGCCTCCACTTACAGTCACACCCCAACATAGTCACACTCACCTGCATCTTCATGCCGTCCTCCGCCACCCAGAGGTAATCCGCCACTCGTGGGAGGTGCTTCTTGAAGGCCTCGCTGTTGGGGTCCTCCACCCAGCAGCACAGCATGTTAATCACCTGGGGGGGGGAAGGGTGGGAGGGAGGGAGGAAGGGAGGAAGGGAGGAAGGGTGTTCTTTATAGGCATCACCATTTGGGTCCTCCACCCAGCAGCACAGCATGTTAACCCCCTGAGGGGGGGGGAAGGGGAGTGGGGGGAGGGAACTAAGAGAGAGCTCGATAGGGAAGGACAAGGTAAGCTGGTTTTGAAGCTGCTGCTTGAAGAAGTAGTGTACAGTTGTAGTACATCGCACAGCATACATTGATTCACCTTATTAACAGGCCCGATGCAGACATAGCGAGTGTTCTCATCCTCGTAGTGTATATGCTTCATCGCCTCCCTAAGCGCCATCCTCCTTATAAGCTTCCCCGGCGGCAGCTTATTGAACACGGGCTCAGCCACGTGGTAGAGGGCATCCCATAGGCAGTCTTGGACGAATGGGTGCGGGAAGTACAGGTCCTCCTGTTAGTTAGTGTGCAGAGGAGAGGAGGGGGGAAGAGGGGAGGGAAGAAGAGGTTGCGGCTCAGCCACGTGGTAGAGCGCGTCCCATAGGCAGTCTTGGACGAAGGGGTGAGGGAAGTACAGGTCCTCCTGTGGGATGGTGGGGTGGTGGGAAGGAGGGGAGGAGGGGAGGACGGACGAGGTGGCAGCTTATTGACCACGGGATCAGCCACATGGTAGAGGGCGCCCCACAGGCAGTCCTGGATGAACGGGTGGGTGAGAGGGAGAGAGCGTGGGTTAGCCACATGGAGCTATACAGAAACACAGCTCGTTGTAGAGCTATACAGAAAAACAGCCAATTGTAGAGCTAAACAGCAATACGGCTTGCTGTAGAGCTGAACAGTACCACGGCTCGTTACAGAGATTCATACGGCTCGTTATAGAGCTCCTCTCTAAGAGAAGAACAGAGCACAAAAAAGGCTCTCTCTCACCACCACCCACCTTGGCACATCTCCGCCGCATGTTATTCCAGTTGATGGAGTCATACGGCTCGTTATGGATCTCCTCTCTAAGAGCCGCAATGAGGGGAGTGTCGGTTGGTCCATGAATTCTCAAGCCGTAGATGTAGCACATGGGGAGGTACACCATGCGGCAGTGGCACCACATGCGACCTGAGAGGGAGAGGGAGAGAGGAGGGGAGAGGGGGGGGGGAAGGGCGAAGGAGGGGAAGGCAGAGGAAGATGCAGCGATAACAGATGGGTGGACGAAGCACATGGGCAGGTACACCATGCGGCAGTGGCACCACATGCGCCCTGCATGGGAGAGGGAGGTACACCATAGATGTAACATGTTGCTGTGGCTCTCAGGCCGTAGATGAAGCACATGGTAGGTGCACCATGCGGCAGTGGCACCACATGCGCCCTGTGTGCATGGGCTCAATAGAAAGGAGGGAGAGATGTATAGCAGCAATACGGATGGGGAGAGATCGCGTAGGGGGAGGTACACCATGGGATAGTGGCACCAGATGCGACCTGACTGACATGCCCACATGCAAGAATGGTTGATGCGTCTGGGTGAGAGCAGTCCCAGGGTGCGTGGGGAGGAAGCAGCTAAGAGCATTCCAGAATGGACAAGAAGAAGGAAGGAGGTAGGGTTGTTACCAGGATGCGTGGGGAGGGGAGGACACAGAGCAATGGCGCTTTTCAGCAATGCACGGAGAGGGGAGAGCATCACTGTGAAGTACGGGAAAGAAGAAAGAGCATTACCAGGGTGCATGGGGAGGAAGGAGATAGGAGAACTACCAGGGTGCATGGGGAGGAAGGAGGTAGGAGAACTACCAGGGTGCATGGGGAGGAAGGAGGTAGGAGAACTACCAGGGTGCATGGGGAGGAAGGAGGTAGGAGAACTACCAGGGTGCATGGGGAGGAAGGAGGTAGGAGAACTACCAGGGTGCAAGGGGAGGAAGGAGGTAGGAGAACTACCAGGGTGCATGGGGAGGAAGGAGGGAGGAGAATTACCAGGGTGCATGGGCAGGAAGTATGGCAGAAGCCACATTTCGGGGGGCATGGGGTTGATGCCTCTGTAGTCGTACACGCCGAGGACCTGGGCACACATGTTGTTTCAAACGGGAGAGCGGGTGAGGGGGGTCAAAAGGGAGAGCGGGTGAGGGGGGTCAAAAGGGAGAGCGGGTGAGGGGGGTCAAAAGGGAGAGCGGGTGAGGGGGGTCAAAAGGGAGAGCGGGTGAGGGGGGTCAAAAGGGAGAGCGGGTGAGGGGGGTCAAAAGGGAGCGCGGGTGAGGGGGGTCAAAAGGGAGAGCGGGTGAGGGGGGTCAAAAGGGAGAGCGGGTGAGGGGGGTCAAAAGGGAGAGCGGGTGAGGGGGGTCAAAAGGGAGCGCGGGTGAGGGGGGTCAAAAGGGAGCGCGGGTGAGGGGGGTCAAAAGGGAGCGCGGGTGAGGGGGGTCAAAAGGGAGCGCGGGTGAGGGGGGTCAAAAGGGAGAGCGGGTGAGGGGGGTCAAAAGGGAGAGCAGGTGAGGGGGGTCAAAAGGGAGAGCGGGTGAGGGGGGTCAAAAGGGAGCGCGGGTGAGGGGGGTCAAAAGGGAGAGCGGGTGAGGGGGGTCAAAAGGGAGAGCGGGTGAGGGGGGTCAAAAGGGAGAGCGGGTGAGGGGGGTCAAAAGGGAGAGCGGGTGAGGGGGGTCAAAAGGGAGAGCGGGTGAGGGGGGTCAAAAGGGAGAGCGGGTGAGGGGGGTCAAAAGGGAGCGCGGGTGAGGGGGGTCAAAAGGGAGAGCGGGTGAGGGGGGTCAAAAGGGAGAGCGGGTGAGGGGGGTCAAAAGGGAGCGCGGGTGAGGGGGGTCAAAAGGGAGCGCGGGTGAGGGGGGTCAAAAGGGAGCGCGGGTGAGGGGGGTCAAAAGGGAGGCGGGAGGGGGGGGAGCGGGTGAGGGGGGTCAAAAGGGAGAGCGGGTGAGGGGGGTCAAAAGGGAGAGCGGTGAGGGGGGTCAAAAGGGAGAGCGGGTGAGGGGGGTCAAAAGGGAGCGCGGGTGAGGGGGGTCAAAAGGGAGAGCGGGTGAGGGGGGTCAAAAGGGAGCGCGGGTGAGGGGGGTCAAAAGGGAGAGCGGGTGAGGGGGGTCAAAAGGGAGCGCGGGTGAGGGGGGTCAAAAGGGAGAGCGGGTGAGGGGGGTCAAAAGGGAGAGCGGGTGAGGGGGGTCAAAAGGGAGAGCGGGTGAGGGGGGTCAAAAGGGAGAGCGGGTGAGGGGGTCAAAAGGGAGAGCGGGTGAGGGGGGTCAAAAGGGAGAGCGGGTGAGGGGGGTCAAAAGGGAGAGCGGGTGAGGGGGGTCAAAAGGGAGAGCGGGTGAGGGGGGTCAAAAGGGAGCGCGGGTGAGGGGGGTCAAAAGGGAGCGCGTGTGAGGGGGTCAAAAGGGAGGCGGGTGAGGGGGGTCAAAAGGGAGCGCGGGTGAGGGGGGTCAAAAGGGAGAGCGGGTGAGGGGGGTCAAAAGGGAGAGCGGGTAAGGGGGGTCAAAAGGGAGCGCGGGTGAGGGGGGTCAAAAGGGAGGCGGGTGAGGGGGGTCAAGGGGGGGGGGGGGGGGGGGGGGGGGAGGGGGTCAAAGGGGAGCGGGTGGGGGGGGGGGGGGTGAGGGGGGTCAAAAGGGAGCGCGGGTGAGGGGGGTCAAAAGGGAGAGCGGGTGAGGGGGGTCAAAAGGGAGAGCGGGTGAGGGGGGTCAAAAGGGAGAGCGGGTGAGGGGGGTCAAAAGGGAGAGCGGGTGAGGGGGGTCAAAAGGGAGAGCGGGTGAGGGGGTCAAAAGGGAGAGCGGGTGAGGGGGGTCAAAAGGGAGGGGGGGGGGGGGGGGGGGGGGGGGGGGGGGTGAGGGGGGTCAAAAGGGAGAGCGGGTGAGGGGGGTCAAAAGGGGAGCGGGTGAGGGGGTCAAAGGGGGGGGGGGGGTCAAAGGGAGCGCGGGTGAGGGGGGTCAAAAGGGAGAGCGGGTGAGGGGGGTCAAAGGGGGGGGGGGGGTCAAAAGGGAGAGCGGGTGAGGGGGGTCAAAAGGGAGAGCGGGTGAGGGGGGTCAAAAGGGAGAGCGGGTGAGGGGGGTCAAAAGGGAGAGCGGGTGAGGGGGTCAAAAGGGAGCGCGGGTGAGGGGGGTCAAAAGGGGGGGGGGGGGGGGGGGGGGGGGGGGAGGCGGGTGAGGGGGGTCAAAAGGGAGAGCGGGTGAGGGGGGTCAAAAGGGAGAGGGGGGGGGGGGGGCAAGGGAGGCGGGTGAGGGGGTCAAAGGAGAGCGGGTGAGGGGGGTCAAAGGGAGAGCGGTGAGGGGGGTCAAAAGGGAGAGCGGGTGAGGGGGGTCAAAAGGGAGAGCGGGTGAGGGGGGTCAAAAGGGAGAGCGGGTGAGGGGGGTCAAAAGGGAGAGCGGGTGAGGGGGGTCAAAGGGAGAGGCGCGGGTGAGGGGGGTCAAAAGGGAGGGGGGGGGGGGTAAAGGGAGGCGGGTGAGGGGGGTCAAAAGGGAGAGCGGGAGCGGGTGAGGGGGGGGGGTCAAAAAGGAGCGCGGGTGAGGGGGTCAAAAAGGGAGCGCGGGTGAGGGGGGTCAAAAGGGAGAGCGGGTGAGGGGGGTCAAAAGGGAGAGCGGGTGAGGGGGTCAAAAGGGAGCGGGCGGGTGAGGGGGTCAAAAGGAGCGCGGGTGAGGGG